CATCTTGTGAGTGAAGATTTTAGGTCGTCCTTTTTTTTTTTCTTCATTTAATGTTTTTTAAATTAGGATGCATTTTGCTGCTATGTCTGAAACTGCGAGAGAAAGACGCGATTAAAACATCAGCTGATGAAACCCCGTCCTCAAACCTAACGATGTCATCACCATTTGTAGTTCTGGTGGAATGAGAAAAATCCTGAAAGAAAAATTGAAGACAGCTGAAAACATTGGCTTAAACAACTTGAACACTGACTTTGGCTACCTCCGGGCAGCGGAATAAAATTAACATTCAAAATCAATCGATTTCGGACTCCTTTCCCCGCTCTGTTGTTCCGCCATTGATCTGCTTTAATGGGTATGACGTCTCATATCAAGGCTTCACTGCCAACATTGCTTCAGGACCTTTTTGTTGACGATTAATCGTGTTTGAGATACCTGCTGTCACATTCTTGGAGGCGATGCCTTGGCATCTGCTTTCTGCTGATCCTGGCTACTTTTGCTTTCATCAGCCATGTATGGCTATTTAATGTAAACTAATGACTCATTGTGCACCAGATGCTGTTTCTTCCCCGAGGATGGGTCTGAAATCCTGCCAGTTGCTTTGCTAACATATCAATACATTTAATAAATATCTTGCCAAAAGCTATGATTAACTCACACACATCTGAATGCTGGCAGGCTGTTTCAGGTCAAATGACTCAAGACTTTTTTTTTTTTTTAAACTCTGTTCTGTTAAATGTTGCATTTTTTTTTTTTTTTTTTAACTCTGTTCTGTTAAATGTTGCATTTGCGTTTGCTGTCTGTCAGTTTGTTAGATAAGAGGCTACTTTCTGGTTCGCATAGAGTGACATAAAGCAGCTTAAACGTATCATATTTTGAAATTGAGTTCAAAATTTAGTTTAGGGGCAAAAAGGAAAAAAAAGAACATTTCTAATCACGCTAACAAACGTGAAAACGTTTTTTGTTTGTCCATCTGTTAGCAAGGTGGCTACTTCCTGGTTCGTGGGCGCACCAATTTCATTTCATCTTTTTCTTCACTAAACAGTGGTTCTTTAGTTTTCGAACACATTAATAATCCTCGTAACAAAAGAATGACCGAGGCAACCATTGCCCCCCCACCCCCCTTAGGCTACAGTCCTTGCTAGTCTAAATGTAGTTGGAAAAATAAATCCCATAATCAAAATGAGCGACACTCTTAATTTATGTTCTCCTGCTTGCCCGAACATGTGCCTCCACACATTTCCACGTGCGAATAAGCATCCATTCTACGTGGACGCACAAGTCATTAGCGCACTTGCATTGTCGTCCCAGCTTGCCCATTTTGAGTGCTCCGCACGCCGCTCCTCATTCAGTTATTTATAAATCTTGCTCAATTTTTGCAGCCGCATTTGCATTTGTATCTTGCCTTTTTAAAACATATGCAATTCAGTTACTACAAGACTACTAGTTATGGGATCATCTTTTATTCATTTGTCCGCCCAGATGTATTAAAGAGGGAGTTTTCAATTTCTACAAAAAAAACAAAACAAAAAAAACGATGAAATTACTGTGAGTGTGCAACAACTAATTGACATTTTAAAAAAAACATAATTTGATTCATCATTGTTAAGGGCCTTTTTTTTGGTGACAGTTTTTTAATTATACTTAAAGATATTTTCCCAAGGTGTTCCGAATGAAGTGGCCAGCGGGTTATGAAATCGTTCAACAGTGAAGGTGGAACCAATTCTATTTCAAGGTCACGTCTGAATGTGACTGAGTATCAAACTGCATCAATCCTTTGAATGAAAAGGAACCGAGGATACGTCAACACTAACCTACATTTACAACCTACAGTCTATTCTAATATTGGTTGCATGAAATTGTATGAATTGCTTCCAAACGGTCCCATTCTCTTCCTTTTCGTCGTGTTTCTCTTGGCTGCACTGCTTCCATGACAGCTTTGAGGTCGTCAGGTTGTTTTGTCCAATCACATTTTAGCTTCCTTATATTGCCATGTCAATCTAATCAGGTTGGGGGCTTTCAGAGTCACAGATTTGAAGCACATGGAAAGTTTTTTGTTGTTGTTGTTGTTGACATACACCTGTCATCATTTAAAGTGCCTCTGGTTCACCCCAAAGAAAGTTCAGGTGTTCTAGTCCGCTTTTCCAAAGTCCCCACTGAAGATCCAGGGACGAAATTTATTGGCCGCCTCATAAAACCAAACTTGGTTTTTGTCGGCAACCATTTGCGACCATGTCAGAGCACGGAGGTCAAAATTCTCATTGGACGGGCCGCCGGAGCACTCCTCATGACTCATCTGCAACGGGCAACAAACGGGGTTGCTCAGTGGTTGACGTTATGTAATTTGCATGCTGCCACAGAGACGCCGCCCACTTGCGCCGTCCGGCACTTTAGCCACGTGAGTGAATCACTGTTGATGTTTGCACCGTTTTCATTATGCGTGTTTGTGCTTTTGTTGTGAAGGAAACAAATTGTTGTTTTTGAAAAGAACATCAATTCAGATAGAAATGCAATTCCTTTGTGTGAATGCTGAGAAATGCGTTTCAAATGAAATGCAGTGTCAGCGTTTCTCAAGTCTGAGGGGATATGTCATTTGTTAGCCAATGCTGAAACTACACAAAGTCAGCGAACACTTGCATTTCAACTCAACGGGACCTGAAAAGGACAGTTTTTGATTAAAAATAGGCCAGCTGCACTAGGCGCATGTTGGCCCGGGATGGGCCAGGGGGTGGGGCTACTCCCTTGGCAGCGTCCTCACCTTGCAGATTTGAGACGCAGCCCAGTGCATGTGCAAAGTTGCCAAATGTCATCTGGACCGGTTGCAAAGCCGCCTGATTGAGAGCCAAGGACGGGGCAACAGATTTTTCTTTTTTTTCCCAAGACTTTTTTTTTTTTTTTTATGCAGGCGGTCATTGCTGGCTTTATACTTTTTAGAAGGTGTACATTTCCCAAAATGAGATCAAAGCCAACTTAAGCAATGACTGATTGCTGTACGATTCATTATGTTCAGATTCTTATGAACTCGGGTTGGATATGTTCAGACTGAGCCAACAAATTGTTTTTAAAAGGATAGAATTGATGATTGAAAACTTTTCAGGTTCTGGTAAATGGATGTATTTTTTTTCATCCATGCATCCAAACATTTTCTGACGTTCTTATCCTCACGAGGGTCGCAGGCATGCTGGAGCCTATCCCAGCAGTCTTTGGGGTACACCCTGAATTGGTTGTCAGCCAATCGCAGAGCACACATAGACAACCATTTGTGCTCACAATCACGCCTAGAGACAATTTAGACTCTAAATTTTAGAGAGTTCCATCAACCTGCCATGCATGTTTTTGGAATGTGGGAGGAAACCGCAGTACCCGGAGAAAACCCACGCAGGCATGGGGAGAACATGCAAACTCCACACAGGGAGGCCGGAGCTGGGATCAAACATATTTTTTTTCAGAATGCTCAAAATGGATTTATTTGTTTTTTAAAAAAATGGACGCCCACTATTTGTGGCAGATACAGACCGAACCGGACCGCAAATAGCCAGTTTCTTCAGTCGGTGATATTGAAGACCATTTTTATTATCACTTCAAGTTTTTATGCTCAAAACTAGGATGAAGGCAAATCAATCCTTGTATCATTCGTTCTTTCGTTTTTCAACTGCCAATCGAAAATGAACGAATGATACACGGATTGAAGGCAAGTAATGTGATTGTTTTTTTGTTTTGTTTTTTAGCACAGAACCTTTTCATGTTGTCATAAAGTGGTGTTGTGTTGCGACACGGCCCGTGTGTAATAATTTGCACCCTCCAAAGCAACTGCCGGCATGATGTTACGGATTGATTCTCGGAAGAAAAGCAAGAGCTGAACTCCAGCCAGGATCGGTTTCATCTGCGAGTAACGTAGCCCGGTGAGAACAAGACTTATTCACCGGAGTACATTGCGCATTCGTTTTCTCCTCACGCAGCAGCCAGGCTGCCGACGCTCTAAACGGATGAGCGGGGAAAACCAACTGTGACTGGAATCGACGGAACTCCGGTCGAAAATATGCCACATTTTGCCGGGCCTGCTTATGCATATGCATGTCAGCTCAAGCGCGTCTCCGAAGCGTCCTCGGCACATACGGTTGACATGGCCGCCCCCGGCTTTCGCGTGGCCGCGGGAGGGAGTTTGTCAGATGAATGCAAAAAAACACCTGCAAGGGATTTTATTATTAATGGCATTCAGGCAGATGGGCAAAACTTTACACGCGGTAAGCGCATAATGTTTTGGCATCAGCAGCCTCGCACATCTTGTGTCAAAAAAAAAAAGAGTACACATGCGTCAGGAAGCGAGCGCTGTGGGCATGACCCCGCTGTATTCTGAGTTCACACAAAATACGCTTTACACAGAAGGTTGAAAAGTATAAGGCACTTGCCGACAACAAAACCTACCGTCTAGGAGTCGAGCATAACAAATGGCGTTTTCAAAGTGCTGTTGAATCCTCCTGGGAATGATTTTATTGACACCCATTTGTGTCACTTCCTGTTTTGATGAAGACTTCCATTGTAAACACGATATAACATTTCAAACATTTTCAATTAAACCTCAGAAAAGAGCATTTAAGGTCAAAACAACTGATTATATGAGCAAAAAAAAAAAAAAGTATAATGACCAAAAGTAAAGTCTTAATGTGACGTCTTTATTGCAGTTACTGTCACGGTGGATCTGTTTGTGACCAACAGGTGGCACTGTAGGGCCCCTCCTACAGCTAGCACACCTGTTGGTCATCATGTCATTAGGTTTTTCTGTTTCAAGGACTCCTTTCCTGGTCATACTTTGTGTTTCCTATTATACGCTTTTTGTTTGTTACTTTTGGTTCTTGTTGTTTTCAGGGCTTTGTTTTCTCGGTGTTGAGAAATACATTTTGCGGCTCCTCCCTCCCGCCTGCTTTTTGGCTCCTCCGTCGCTCACGTTCATGACAGATACTTCTTTATTCTTGTACCTTTTTTCCTTTTTGTCAATCTGGTAGCCAGCGGTTGACTGTTTGAGCAACGCCTTGATGCGAGAAGAAGTCCTGGCGACAGACTGATGGAGTAGAAGGGAGAATGGACCACATGGGTGGGAATTATCTCCTGAACAGAAAAGTGTGGTGAGTTCTTTGTTTGCAGACAGTCAGTTCCAGTTAAGTACCATATATTGTCCATTCACTGCCCCCACCAAAATAAATGAACACCTTTTATCCGTGAGCTCAATGAATGAAATATTTCAGTTGGAAATCTGTAGTCAGAACATTGTGGAGTGCCTTGAGAGCAAAAATAACAAGAATGCACTGGAGGCCAACATTATTCGTTCTGAACTCCAAATTAAAGTTGGCAAATCTGCCTGCGTGGATTTGGTCACGTGATGTCATTTTCACTCTACATCAAAGGTGTTACTAGACCAAAATGACCAAATCAAGTCAAATTTCCCATTAACTGTAACGGGGTAGGCGGCTCGGTGGTCCTAGTGGTTAGCGCGTCGACCTCACAGTGGAGAGGTACCGGGTTCCATTCCAGCGTGGAGTTTGTTCTCCCCGGGCTTGTATGGGTTTTCTGCGGGTACTCCGGTTTCCTCCCACATTCCAAAAACGTGCATGGCAGGCTGATCGAACACTCGAAATTGTCCCTACATGTGAGCGTGGGTAGTTGTTCATCTGTGTGTGTGCCCTGCAATTGGCTGGCAACCGGTTCAGGGTGTTCCCCGCCTACTGCCCGAAGACGGCTGGGACAGGATCTAGCACCCCCGCGACCCTTGTGAGGATAAACGGATCGGAGAATGAATGAATGAATGAATGTAACGGGCTAACCGGACACAAAAACAGGCGAGTGGACAAGCTGCAAATGTCTTCTTCCACACGCGTTGTGCAGAGGCCAATCTTCATGTCCGATATGCTGTGTGGCAGAAGCAGGTAGCCGAGAAAGTGGAGCAAGGGGTGTCATTAGACGAGCGCTTCAGGCAGGTACAAGAGCTGCCAATAATACAGTAAGGAAGGAAGCAGGCCAAGCGTGCGGGGAGGCGTACGAGGAGAGACTGTCACTCACCGCTGCTTAACTGCTAATTATCGTTTACTTTAAAAGATCAAGCCCCGGTGGTCGTTGCAGCGTCTCAAATGGATATCGTCAACGTATTGTCCCTCGAGAATTCACGTCACGTTCAAGGCTGCCGCCTCATTTTTACGTGGCGCGCCAGAGCTCAACGATGGTTGTCTTCCAATAAAAACCAAAAGCGTAGACCAGGGGTGTCAAACTCATTTTTGTCGAAGGCCACTTTAGAGTTATGTCCTCCCTCGGAGCGCCGTTAAGGCAGTGAACCCGAATAAATGTTTAATCATCACATCGGATTATTACTTGTACACAAAAAAAAAAAAAAAAATGATGGCTCACTAGTTTTGAAATCAGTCAAGTATTTGTTCAATTATTGCTCAAGTGAGTGGAAACAGAGTAACAGAATTATTGCAAATTGTCACCATGATTTATTACGTATGGCAGTTTGAAATTTCGGTACATATTTCAGCAAGGATCATGGAAGTTGACACAGATGATTTGCTTTCGCGGGCCACACAAAATGATGTGGCGGGCCGGATCTGGCCCCGGGCCTCGACTTTGACACCATGGTGTAGACTGTCTTTTGGCTGCAGATGTTTGAGTAGTGGAGCTCAAAACTGCATGCTGCTTCTTTGGACTGGTGAAGTGGATTTTTTTTTTTAAATATTCCGACAGATATCAGAGAGTTCCATGATGTAGCCATTGATGCTGCTTGCACATTTCATTTGTCAACAAACTGTTATACCAAACCTGAATTAAGAGCATATTGTTCACCAACATTTCAGTTTTTTGATGCATTGTCGCATTTCTATTTCAAAGCTAAGCACTGTGGTGCCTTTGTGATAGAAGTGCCTTGAAATAAGCGTTTCCAGTGATACGAGCGGTCGCTTTGGAGAAATTATTTGGGAATTTGCTTTGTTTTTTTTTTTTTGTCCTTGCAGTGGAAGGTTAATACCAGGTGGTGGCGGTCATGCGTGATATTTCACCAGAGAAAGATGATCTGAGATAAAAGTGTGGCGGTGGATGAAATTCGCATCACTATTTCTTTCATTTTATGTTACCTGATCAATTGGTGGTAAAGGTTAATCGGGGTGTTCACACGGCAGCTTTTACTCCGGTGTAGCACCGGGGCTGCCCCCCCGTAGAGCGTTCACACGTACAAAGTTATACAGGTGTAGCCCCTGAAAACAGCTTAAACTGGAGCAAATTTAACCCTGCTCAGGAGATGGTTTAAAAATGTACTCTGGAGTAAATGCTCGTTTGCGGGGCAGCACCGATATAAAATGGGACGCGTGAACGCTATAGGGGTAGACTCGCTGTGCATGAGAAGAGTTGATTACATACGGTTATTGAATGTGTTGCTTTCGTGCTCTGTTGGACTTCCGTCATCTTTCCTTTCTCTCTCTCATCCTTTTACGGTGTCTGATAGACCGCAGCGTTGATTTGTCTGAAGAAGTATAAACCATGGTTTTTCGATATGTCACAAACAAGGCAGGGAAAAGGAAGTACCGTATTTTTCGGATTATACGTCGCTCCCGATTAAAAGTCGCACCAGCCAAAAAATGAATAATTAAGAAGGAAAAAACATATATAAGTCGCACTGGAGTATAAGTCGCATTTTTGGGGGAAATTTATTTGATAAAATCCAACACCAAAAACATACATGTCATCTTGAAAGGCAATTTAAAATAAAAATAAAAAGGAGAACATGCTGAATAAGTGTACGGTATACTAACGTTACATGACTGACATGCCTGGTAATGTCAGTAACGACCTAACATATTAAGAGTTATTCAGATAACTCTAGCATAAAAAATATGCGAACAAGTTTACCAAACTATTATTTTCACTCCAAATCACAAAATCCAATGAAATCTTCATCCTCGGTGTCACTTTTAAACAACTCCCCCAACTCGGGAGGGAGACGATTGCCGCTTCCTCTTCTACATCGCTTACGTCAGACTCATCGTCGATTTATCAACACAGGCCGAGAGCGCCCTCTTGTGGTTTAATGTGAAAATAACGTGAAATGACATAAACATGTGTTAATAATTTCACACTTAAGTCGCTCCAGAGGATAAATCGCACCCCCGGCCAAACTATGAAAAAAACTGCGACTTATAGTCCGGAAAAAACGGGACACTTTACGCATGCGCATGTTTTATTTCCGTATTATTACTTATCGTATTGCACGGCTGCAGAAACCGCCGTGTGAACGCAAGTGGGGCTGCACTGGGGTTAACATGCTTCTCTTTAGTAAGCAGCTTTATACATGTGAACGCTCCACAAAATTTACGCCGGTGTAAGATATATCGCAACAAAATACGTCGCACCGATGCAAATGTGTGCCGTGTGAACACCCCTAATAATAATTGAATGCAGGGGCCATCACATAATGACCAATATATACGTCTGTGATAAGGTGAGGAAATGAGTTTCTACTTTAAAAGGGCTTCGCAAGTTCTAACTGGTCCCATAAGGGCAGTAACAAATAATTAATGGCACCCGGAGTTCTCGTTGATGTCACCGACGGGTTTTTTTGGCTCCTCGAGTCCTCATTTAAGTCTCATCCGCTTGATTCCCTGTCAAGCTGTCTCACTCATTCTCTTCTACCTCTTAAGAGTGACAAAAGCAAGCAAGCAAGCAAGCGGTCTCGATGAAATAGGTTCGAATGATGACAGCAAATCATTTTTCTGGTCTCCTAACGTTTTAGGGAACGGTATGTGTCTCTATTCCTTGACCAAACGCTACGACCAAAGTCACGGAAGGGAGAGCAAATCAAGGAAACAGTACCCACCGAGAAACGTGAGTTCACCTGGCGTTTGCGTCATTCCCGGCCGCTCTCTCCACGTCCATCCCGCATCTCGGTTATTGCCCATCAGTTTGACTTCTCACGACAAGAGAAAATAACCCTTCCGCCGCTTGGGAAATCCAACAGGATGTTCACCGGTGGCTGTTAACCAATGACAGCCGCCTTTTTGATGATCATAACGGCATAAGTATCAGGACTTTTGTCTGTAGGTGATTCAGTTGAATTGTATTCAAATGCATCGCCATCATTTCTTTTGCAAAAAGGGGAATGAAACGTTGAAGGGGAAGTCTTTGTGCAAGATTCGGAGCGTCGCTGCATTCAAAACGCCATGTTCAGGAATAAATTCAGAGAATACCAATGACTAGAAAGGGTGCAGCACAAAGCCTCTTGCACAGTGGTTCTTAACCTGGGTTCGAACGAACCCCAGGGGTTTCGGTGAATCAATCCCAGGGGTTCGACGGAGCCTCTGCCATGGAGCTTAAGACACACCCGACTTAACAGGTCAATTACCGTATTGGCCCGAATATAAGACGGCCCTGATTATAAGATGACCCCCTCTTTTTCAAGACTCAAGTTTGAAAAAAGACTTTTTGAACACCAAATTAATTTTTATACAGAAAATAATTACAGTACATCTGAAACAAATGATTATAACAATATATTTGAGAGGAAAAGCATGTTATTTTGCCTCATTCAAATCTTAATATCTGAGCATTTAAATATGTAAACTAAAGTGCAATCACATTCGTAAATGAATGGCTTGTGGTTTTTTAAATGTAAATGACATCATAACTTCTCCTCAGCTGCCGGTTAACCTGGCCGATCTTCGACCCACTTTTCTCCAGATTGTCACTACGTTTCTCCATTTTCTGTTATCTCTTCTATTATTTTCTTCTCTTTTCTTTCTTACCGCTATTTTTTATTTTTCCTCTTCGTGCTACCGCTATTTTTATTTTTATTCTTCGTGACAGGGGTTCACTTTGGCCTGGGGAGTCAAGTTCAGCATTCGCTACAATGATATATGGTGCCATCTAGCGTCGTGAATGGGTATAATGGCTAGACCCCGAAGATAAGACGACCCCCACTTTTTCAGTCTTATTTCAATGCAAAAAACACCGTCTTATATTCAGGGCAATACGGTAGTTGTGACACGCCCGCTGCAGATGATCACATTACATCACTTGTCCGATCAGCGCTGCGGGAAATTTCGTTTGCTCAGTCGTCAACATGTAACGATTGTAGTCACATACACACACAAAAAAACATGATTCAAAACACAACTCCCCATTACGCTACTTGAAGCAAATCC